AGGGCCGACCCTCCCCCAAGACACCCACCAGACCTCCACCCCCTTCCGAGGAATGGGGGCTCGGGGTCGCGGCCTACCTCGGACCTCCATCCGAATGCTGGAGGGCCAACCCTCCCCCAAGACACCCACCAGACCTCCACCCCCTTCCGAGGAATGGGGGCTCGGGGTCGCGGCCTACCTCGGACCTCCATCCGAATGCTGCTCTCAATGCCATCGGCCACAAACTTCAGCTGCGCCCCATGCAGGCTGGCAGGCACCTCTCGGATGGTCAGCGTGTGCTGGGTGCGGTCACGGCGGATCACGTACACGCTACTGGCCTTCAGGACCTTCCCATCCAGGAACCACTCACCGGAAGAGGCCACTGTGAGGTCCACGGAGAAGGTGACCTCGCCACCCTCCACTGCTTCCAGGGCCTTCAGCGGTGTCCTCACAGCCAGCTGAGGGACTGTAAGGTAGGTGGCTTTAAGAGCGGAGCCAGGACACGGGGCAGTCTCTGCCTTTTCGTCCTCTTCCTATGGAGCCCAAATGTCCCCTGCTCCAAAAAGCCCCGCCCACATGCACACAAGGACCATGAGCACAAGTCAGGCTCATGACAGACAGGGACAGCTACTGCACAGCCCCTACCAGTCCCACCACTTCCCAACACCCTTCCTGGGTGAGGCAGCCGAAGCCTTACCCACCTCACCCCATAGGGCTGATGGAGACAAACAGCTTCAGAGGGACTGACTGGGGCAGTCCCACTGCGCCACCCCAAAAAAAGTCATGGTAAGATCATCCTGGCCTCGCTGGCGGCCAGGCCTTGCTTCTGTGCATGGTGACACCTGTGGAGTTACCAGGCAGCCCTGCTCACCCAGGTGGATGGTCCCTGGAAACTCAAGGTAGGGACTCTGGCCAAAGTTGTTGATGGCCGACACTCGGAACTGGAAGTCCCCCTCTTCAGCCACACCAGTAACAGTAAACTCCAGCAGGGCCACCCACTCGCTCTGGTGGCATCGACTCCAGGCATAAGCACCAAGCCGCCTCTTCTCCACCAGGTAACCATCAATGGTGACAGGGCGGTCCCCCTGGGATGGCGGGGACCAGCTGAGGGTCACAGAACTCTCCGTCCTGGCCTTCACCACAGGGTCAGCAGGGGGGTACAAGGGTGGCCTTCTGGGGGCTGGAAGGAGGACGGATAGAGATCACCAAGAAAGGCAATGGGTGGGAATCACTGAGCATCCCTGCCCAAGCCCTAGACAGAAAGTGAGTCACAGAACTTCTTCCCTCCTGGGGATACTGCTCTGGTAGCATCAGAGAGACTGTAGGCTCAGCAGCCCCCACCCCAGACTTATAGACAATTGGCTGCTGTGGAAATGCCCCAGCCTGACAGAGGAGTTCAGAGATGATGAACTATCTGTGCCTTCCTGCCACCCGCCCCGCCACAGGCTGGAGCCCACAGCACTTGTGGAGGACAAGGCCGGCCTTGCCCATGGACTGAAAGGTGGCACCCTAGGGGAGAGATCTGCCTGAAGACTGCTCCTGAGGCCCTTACCAGACACACAGAACTGGGTAGACGTTCGGCAGTGGCCAGCCACGAAGGCCACCTCCCCAGCATCCTCCAGACTGCACTGGAAGATGGTCAGCGTGTGGCAGGTGCCTTCTGCGGTGATGGCCACCCGGCCCCCGGCCGCCATCTCTTCTTGGTTTCGAAGCCAACGGACAGGACCCTCGGGGACCGCCAGCTCCACCCAGAACACGGCTGTGTCCCCCACTCGCACCGCTGTCTTCCGAGGTAGCTTTCGGGTCAAGTTCCCTGGGGTGGAGGGACCCCAGAGCCCATCAGACTTGGTCTCACATGCACCCCTCACTGCTCCCCTCCCTCATCCCTGTCCCACCTCCTGCCTCACCTCCCCAGCCCAGCCTGCTCTCCCTGCACGCGCTCCTGCCAACTCCTGTCTGACCCATCTCCCTGCCCAGGCCTCCGAAGGCCTCAGCACCAAGTTTCCAGCAGCCTGCTCCTCCCCACACCACCTTCCCCACTCCCCCCTCCCCCCAACTCCTCTCACTCCTCCCTCCTCCACCCTCCCCTGACACTCCTCCCTCACATCCATCCTTCTGCTCCCCCGTCAGCACCCCCACCCTGTCCCAAACACACACAGGACACCCTCGCCCCGCATGCATGCCTTGGACGGCGAGCTCGGCCACGGTGCGGCTGCCCTCGGCGGTCTCGCAGACATACACGGCGTCGTCGTCGGCACAGACGTGGCGCACGGTCAGCCGGCGCTCGGCGCCCTCCGCCTCGATGCCGTACTTGTCGCTCGCCCACAGCCGCGTCTCCTCCTTGAACCACGCAGCCTCCACCGCTGGCTCCGCTACCTCGCACCGGAACGTGGCCGACTCCTTCTCCCGCACCTCCACGTCCTGCAGCCGCGTTCTGAAGGGCACAGCAGGCTCTGTGGGGACAGGGGGAGTGAGGGTCGGGGGCA